AACGGAAGGTTTCCAGATGGATATGCGGAGCAAATCCATCTGGCGGAGTCAGGTTATAAAGACGTACCCCGCCTGGGTTATCTCAGCTGTGGCGCTCCAGGTGAAGGACTGGTGGGTCCTGCCAGCGATGATGGTGATTCGGTCCGTGTGCACCGTCACGCTGACTCCTTCAGGTTGGTAGTAGACCGAGATGATGCCGAAGTAGGTGTTGAGTTTACCTCTGTGAGGCTGCTTAGAGCTGATTAGCTGGCCGTTAACAACCACACCTGAAGACAAGATGGAAGAATGAGGACAGGGACCTGTATGTGTTCTGGAAGCATTTGGACCAGACTGGGTAGATGATCCAGCATACACGGTCCCATCACTACCTCACTGACAAACCAAATGTAAAACTAAGTACACCCCAGAAAACTTCAGAAGCTCCTCCTAGACCTCTGAATCTCTCCTCTATCCAATTTTGATGCGGTTTATTGAAGTTTCTCAGCTCCAAAGATTTTGTCCTATCAATCATAATGTGGTCCAGAATTTGACTAGGCTATTGCACTGCCTGGATTAGTACCATCATCCATGTTAACTTGCACAGATGTAAAGATGAGGGTTCTGCTGCGGTCCCAGTTTGGACCAAGCTTCAGCAGACATGGAGATGGACTCAATGTTCTTCAAGACCCCCTGTCATGCATGGCTGAGGTGGACCTCTACAGCTGCAGGGGAGGAAATTACATCTTTTGATGCTGGAGTAGAGACACTTCTAACACCTGCAGACAGAATCTCCTGAGAACCACTGCTCTGGTCCACAGATGTGGTCCAGCCGGGGTGCAAGGAGGTGTTCTGAAGTCCATGTTTGGAGAAAAACCAAACATGGACCTTCTGACCAAACATATCAGCCTTGGTCTCATTCTCCCTTTCAGCCTTATTTCTAATTACACTTTCATGACCTTTGACTTGCTAACAAATGCCTGCCAAGCCTGAAATGTTCTCCTCAAGGGGATAATCTCTGCAGAATGAGGAACTTCAGGTAATTTGGGGTTGACTTGAGGTTCTCCTACTGGCAGCTTCCTCCTACTTAAAACGTATTATCCTGTGGAAGCAAAATGGGAGTACTAAGGTTTATAGAGCTGTGTTTATGAAGACAAATTTAAAATCAGGCGGTTATGTAAGTCCTGAAAACCATGAAGAAGCAGCAGAGAAAATCTTGCTTAAACGTTGTTCAGTTTGACCTGTTCCAGCGTCGGACACCAGGCTGAGGATGTGACCCGGTTTGGAGTCGATGTTGAAGCAGACGTCCATGTTGCTTCGGGGCAGGTGGATGATGAAGTGAGGGTCATTGTCCACTGAAGGAGAGACATACAAACAGGGTGTAGCTTAACCACGAGGACAGAAACCTGCTCCTGAAACTCTCAATGATGAAGCATGTGTTACCTATATTCACCGTTGAAGGCAGCGCAGTCGCCACTGGACCCCCGCGAGCCTGACTTGAAGGGGTCGGGGTGGGGGTTTGGACCCAGGGTGGTGGACGGGAATAGACTACGTCAACTGGCCCAGGTAGAGCATGTCCGCCTGGAAACATCTCTACGTTAGAACTGAGCCTTTGTTCTGTCAGATGAGCATACCCGGTCATACCAGCATACACATAGTTAATACCCATTTATCCCTTTAGTTTTGTACAAAAAATAAACTTTAAACTACCTCAACGGGCGTGTATCCCTTTAGTCATTTACAAAAAAAAAATAATAATAAGTAATTACTTACTCTTTGGTGTTTTTTTTAAGCGTATGTTTTTTTTTTTTTTACATGGCTAAAGGGATACACGCCCGTTTAGCTAGTTTAAAGTCTAATTTTCCTACAAAATAAAAGTATAAATGCAAATCTGAAGTCTTGCACATGCGTATTGACTATGGGTATGAGGGTATGCTCATCTGACAGAACACCGTCTCTGATTAGAATATTTCTCATCAGAATTAAACAATAGTAAAAAAATGTTATACAAGATGTTTTTAAGCAAAACAACCCAGAAATATGAGGGGAAAAAACAAATCAAAACACTTCTATTCAGTTGCAAAGTGACACCAAAAGATGGCCAACATGTTAGGAGAACGATCTGCCATCTTAAAATGAGAATATATGTCAGCAACAATGCAGAGGCTCCAAATACATAAAGAATTCATTTTTTTTCAGTCCTCCCTTTGATCAGCAAAGACAAACCTTCCTAATCAGTCTCCAAATGTCGTCTCAGAGGAGACACCATGGGGGACTGATCAACCAGTCAGACATGTTTTTATTCCCATTCGACTGAGTCATGTTGGACACTCAAATTAAAATTTTCTCTAAAATACTTTCTTTAAAGTATGGACACTTGTTTCTATGGACATGTGGTCAATATTTTAAAGACTGTGGATTACCTGAAAAAAATTTTGACTTTCCAAATGAGGAAAATCAGATTATTCAGACAAGCCCTGACAGTTACTCAAACTCTGAGGGAAAACAACCAGCGCCAAAGTAACAAAGTACAAATACTTGGTTACCTTACCTAAGTAGAAATTTTGGTTATCTTCTTCTACTCCTTACATTTTAAAAATGGACTGATTAGTTTTGTTTCCTTTACGTTCATATTCATTATGGCCTGTTTGTATTTTAAAAAACTAAAACCATTAGGAATTCGTTTCATCGAGACAATGAATTTCTTTGTGGTGCTGCCCGAACTTGTTGTTCACCGCATATAGTTTTGTATTGCCATTAGTCATAAAACTAAGAAACTTATAAGGTAGATATAAAAGTATAAGGAAGTTATCATCCAGGCAGGGGGGGGATTTACCATTAGGCAGAACTAGGCAGTTGCCTAGGGCCCCAAGTTCCTGGGGGCCCCATAAAAAACGTTAAAATGCCATCAGAATGCTTATAATATTAAGTGCAGGCATCCCCAAAGTCGGTCCTTGAGGGCCGCTGTCCTGCATTGTTTAGAGGTTTCTCTGCTTTAGCACAGCTGATTCTGATGATTGTAGCAAAAGTCTGTTAATCAGCAATTAGTGAAAATCAGCTGTGCAGCAGCAGGGAAACCTTTAAAACCTGCAGGACAGCAGCACTCGAGGCCCGACTTTGGGGATGCATAAAAGTGTGTCTCAGGGGCCCCCTTTAATGTCCAACACATTGGATCAGTGCATTTGCTACACATGTTGAGAAAGTTCCAAACAGACAGCAGCAAAACATTTGAAAAAAAAAAAAAAGCGGGAAGAGCAGTGTTGCAAACTTAAGACTTTTGTCACAATATTTAGTGACTTTTCAGACCCCTCTAGCACTTCTATTACGAAAAAGCGCCTAACGCCAAATCTAGTGACTTTTTCTGCTACTGGAGACTTTGGCGACTAAATATAAAAGCACCAAACTCTGCACTACAGAGCAAGTAGATTCTTAACCCCGTCTCCTGCTCTCTTCTCTCTTGTCTGCTGCAGCTATTATTTAATTCAAATGAAAAATGGAGAACAGATAAGCAGATCATGGTTTCTCTACAGTGAGAAGAAGGACTGGGTTATTAACTTTTGCCATCACCTTTTTCAAAACACAAGAAGGAGCAATCAGCTAAGTTAGAATGCACTTAGTGATTGGAAAAAATATTTCATTCTTTGTGAGACAGCATTAAAAGTTAGCTGAGCACCTTGCCAATATGAAAAGAAAAAGGGACAAAAGAAAAAAATAGAGGTAAACAGCAAAAAAGGATAAGAAGAGAGGGACAAAGGTAGAACAAATAATGCATGTCTATTCTGTATAACAATTCTGTATCTGTATAATGGATCTGTTTTGTGTTGTCATCCCATTTCAAAGGACCCCATTTCTCTCTTTGCCTGGGGCCTCAGATTTCTTAAATCGGACCCTGTATCCAGAATAGGGTGGTGCAGTAACCAATATAAAAGTCTGTCCTTAAATTTTTCTTGCATAACGTTTACTTTAGTACTTTAAGTAGTTATAAAAAATGTACTTTTACATATCTACTTGAGTTAAAAGCTTAGGTTGATACTTAAATTTCTATAAAAGTGTATTTAAACAGTAGGATTTATACTTCAAATTGAGTAAGAAACATTAATACTTTTGACACCTCTGAGTGCCAAACACTGTTTCTCTGAGGATCTGTGGAAGCCACAGACAAAGAGGTTGTTTGAAAGAGTAAATAGTCCGGTGCAGACATCTTCGACTGGAAAGGACAAGTTATTGAGGATTGAAGTTCAAATGCAGACAAGCACCTGTGCAGCATCCCTGCCTGGGGTCCTTTGGCGAATCGGCCAGCAGCCTCTCTGTGGCGTCCTCGTTCTCCACCAGCAGAGCCGTGAGCGGCGTCACAAAGCTATGCTGCAAAGCCAGTTCGGTGATTTGCTTGGTGATTTTTCTTTTTTTTCCAACTGTTGAAGCCACAGCCCTGCAGGGTGAGCCACATGGCAGCGGTTAAAAACAACTAAAATACATGAAGTATAACAGCATGTTCATAGAATACGACAGTGTTAGCCAGCTAGCTTAGGCCTGGTGTGGTAATTGGGACAATCGTCCTATTTATGAACCAGGTATACCAAGATGTTTGACTGCAGGACTAAGAGCTGATTAGGCACTAGTGGTTCCTAGAATTACTAAAAGTAGAATGAGAGGCAGATCTTT